GAAAGAGCAGATTGGGTCCGAAAAACTGAGAAATTGGGTTAACAAAACCAAAATGGCTAATTTTTGTGTTTCCCGATAAGGTGATCTTCAAGATGGTGGAAAAATGACAGATGAAAACCAAATTGTTGTAGATAGAAATGACCTCGTCCCCAAAGTGTTAACCGTGAATGTAGGGGATGAGTTTTGTGGTGTGGTTGCCCACGTTCAGACTCCAGAAGACTTCTTTTGTCAGCAGCTACAAAGTGGACGTAAGTAAATTTTTTTTGAATTATTTTATCTTGATATCATAAATCAAGAGACTTGACATGCGAAAAAAGAAGATAATGTATAGATTTGTATTTCTTTATTTAAGATGTGATCTGTATTTATAGATAAGCTCGCTGAACTTCAGGCATCCCTTAGCGAGTACTGCGGTCAAGTGTCTCCACGCTCCGATTTTTATCCAGCTGTTGGTGATATCTGTTGTGCTCAATTCTTGGGTAAGGAATGAAAGTACTACTGAATTTTTTACTTACAATTAAGTAAAAACAAATGAAACAGAATCTTCAATTTGCACTGGATGGCTGCATTTGGAGTTTTGAGTATTAAAGTACACCCACCAATCAAGTTTTTAAAATAGTATGTCCAGTTAAGTTGAATCAAAATGTTTAAGGGAGGAGGGCCTCTCGATGTTGGGAGTTGGTGGTAAAGGATGTTTTCATTGTTTTATCAGCCCTTTAGTTTTTGGAGACTGGTACAGATAATTCTGTTTACAACAGCATGCAAATAGCCGCCTCAGGCTGTTTGCCTCCTAGAGTCACGTCTTCACCAGTTTTCTCTGGAAGAGGGAGAAGGCCCGCAAGCCCAGAGCCACCTTGGCACAGCCTCTGTTGCGGCACAGGGCTCCCCTGGTGGTGACCGGGTTCAGGTATTCTCTTCTGAAGTGTGGCCAGTGGACTCCCTGGAGGGGAGGTACAAGTAAGCCCCCAGTAACTGATGGTTTGGTTGGTGGAGTCTGGTTGACTTACGCTGTGAGGAAGTCTGAAATTAGCCCTGCTTGATGCTCAGCAAATGGTTCGTATATTGATCAAGATCTTGTGGGTTCATTCACATGACCAAGACATGTTCTCTGTCCTAAGGAGTTAACTGTCTACTAGGGAGACAGAGCATGTAAGTAAATAATGACAGCATATGACACGAGTTGCCTGGTAAGTTGTGATTAAAGGTGATATTTTAGGAGTTGAAAGTGTCTGGTAAGCAAAAGTAATAACGTTGAATAAGCATACATTCTTCATTAAAGCGTGATATACTGTAGTAAAATGTAGAGATACAAATGACTATCTCTAAATTTGTGAGGAAAAGTTTTTGTTTATATCTACATTAGAAACTCATTTGAGACTCTTGCCTTTTTTCAGAGGATGATCAGTGGTACCGGGCCTCCATTTTGGCTTATGCTTCTGAAAAATCTGTCCTGGTTGGATATGTAGACTATGGAAACTTTGAAATCCTTAGCTTGACAAGACTTTGTCCTATAACCCCGAAGTTGTTGGAA